GAATAGAAATGGAACTTAAGGAAATAAATGTGGAGGATCTTGGCTTCGATCATCCGATATGTTCAGGCGTTCTCGATATAAAATCGATACCCTTTACAAATATACCCAGGTCGGTTGTAATATTTTAAGGAACCATTTCAGAATATAAGTTAGAACAGAATCATAATGTAATGAATGCATGTAAAGAATTTATCCAGAACAAAGAATCGAAAACCAATTGAGATGAGGTTTGGGTGATGTTAAGCATGGAGAACGGTTGGATAAACCTGAAAAATTGCAAGATCTAACAAACCAGGTGTTAGAATCAATTTAAGCCACTGGAAATAAGTTTTGCTAAAACCCGCTTATATGATTCTTTTACTTTTCTCATTTACTGGTAAATAATTATAGGCTCAAAGTTTGGAAATCTCCAAAATACGAAGCATACATAAAGAAAGCAAAGTTGATAAATGAAGGCTCATACATTTGTGAAGTGCTCACACCATTGTTAAACATAGTGTTGAACAATTTACCAGGAAATCCAATAGCATGGGATATATAGTAAGCTCAACTTAATGAATCGCGTTATGTAATAATCATATCTTCTGCTATAATTAATGTTTCTCAAACAAGGGGCGAAGAAGGGAGTTCAGCTAGTGCACGAAGGGCTGATTATATGATGGTGGCGCAGTTGGGAAAAAATGCTAAACTTGAAATTGTTTATCTTGAAACCTGTAGACCTGATTCCACTTAAGATAAACACCTTCGTGATCATAAAAAATTATTATGTTTTTCTAAATATTCTATTGAAACCACAAGAAGTGTATTAAAGCTCAAAAAGATATTCAATCAATTATCAAAGAGACAGAATTTGTCTATATTTACTATTAACATTGCAGGTATATCACTAGTCAAAATAGCACTATTTGGCATGCTACCACTCTTCAAATATTCAGATATACTGTATAACTATTTGACATAATACCACTCAGCAACAATTTGGCATGTTAAATAATAAAATAATTTTTTATTTTTATTTGATTTGCTAATACTCACCAATATTTAACATATTAATACTTGTAAATTAATTATAATAATCGAAAAAAATTTAAAAAAAAAAATTTTGAAATATTTTTAAAAAAATTAAATTTAAATACAAATTGTTTATGCTTAATTTTAGTCAAATTTTTAGTGTTTTTAAATATTATACTTGCAGTTTAATGAAATTATAGTTAAATATTTATAAGAATTATGCCAATTTGAAATTTTATATTTAAATAGAATAAATCGACCAAAAATATTGTAAATAGGAATTATACATTATGTTTTTTTTTTAATATTAAAGTGAGGCATTACTCATAATCTTTATTAATATGGTAAAGTTCAACTTGTACATGATTAATAATAAAATATAAATTATATCACTATAGATATTAGCCTACCACCTATATAAGATAGATACAGTATATCATTGAAAAACCTTTGAGCAAGAAAAACTTGAGGAACTATCTATCGTGAAAAAATAAAAATAAAAAAAACATTTTGGGCAAGATCGCCATTTTGTGTTTAAGTATTGTAAAAGAGTATTGTTGATATATAAATATTGTAATTGCTGTTAGATGTGGTTCCTGAACATACTATATGGGTTCAGTCAGACGTCAGCACTGTGTAAGCCATATATAACTTTTAGGTTTGTGTTTGAAAATGTGAATTGTGGTTGTTATCTGGTGATTGGTTGGTTTTTATGTTGGTGGGTTGAATATTGATACCTGTTCTAATATTATTTTATGTTGTTTTGTTGTTAATAGTTGTTGGAGCCATACTGGAACCCACGCAGGGCACTGGTCACGTGCTCTCTCAAACCAATAGGTTGTAGTATTGTTTTAATATAAAAGAGTAGTACAAAAAATGATTGGTGTTTTGTGTGTCATGAATCTTTTGATAGGGTAAACTGATTTCAGTTTTTTGTATAAAAAAATTTTTGTAAAAAAATTTGAAGATTTTGGATGTAAAGTATTGGTGAGAACTAATGACTAGCCAGAGGATATAGAGAATTTTTCATTAATCATTATCAGTAGAAAACAAAAACTTTGAAAAAATAAAATACTGTCTCTTATATGTATTTATATTTGAGTATTGTTTGGTTGTATTTTGAGGATTGTGATAATTTGTATGAAAGAAGGTCTAAACATGAAAAAGCTTTTTATTTATCTTCTAACAGCCAAGCTATTTGATCAATACTTTTTACAAAGTACTAGACCTTCTTGAGTGGAGCCATTATCATCCTTTCCAGAGAACTATTATTAGAACTCAACTATTCAATAGCAGTCCTTAGGATTATACTTCCCTCCTCAAAAAAATATAATCTGCTAGTCAAAGTTTCTTGGGAGAAAGAAGATTTCCTAAAAAAGCAATTTTTATAAAAGGAGTTGTTTGTGGGAAAGAGTTTTTTATTTTCAATTATATATTATGTTTAATTAGATAAAATTCAATATTCCATTATTCAATATTTATTTATTTTCTGAGCCAAAATGAAATCTCAAATTTGCTAAATTAACTGGTTTAAACCATAAAATAAAATCAATTTATGACATACAATATTATTTGAAAAATTAATTAAATGTATAAAAAAAATTAAACTTGTTTTAGATATAAATCTACATTTCTTAAAGACAAAAGAGAATAAAAAATTCACTTTCTATTTAGTATCTTCTATATTTGATTTGTTCTATTCTAAATAATTATCAAATTATTAATATCATTTAAATGGTTTTCTAAAGTTTATTATTTCATATGAAGCCTTATAAATATTCTACTAATAGATTCAATATTTCGACATATAATATTAAATTCAAATTTTTTGAATATAATAATTCATTTAAAAATTTTCTGATTCATTGGTAACTGTCTTATGAATATTATATATATTGTTTAAAAATTAATATAATTTATCAAATAAAATTTAATTATATATAATAAAAACTCTTTCCGCTAATCCCTTTGCCAACCCAAAAAAACAGACGTTCTCAAAAATATTTTTTATTTTTGATAATAA